AAATTTTTATTCAAAGTTTTTAAATACTTTTTTATTTTAATTTAATGTACAACCAGAAATCCTTCTTTCCAAAACAGAAAAAATATTTTTTCAAATACATCTTATACAGCACTTATTTCAATAAGTAAAAACAGTGTTTGATTTGTTAGTTTTGTTTTTGTTTTAATCATTTCACCCAAGCAAGGCTATAAAGCCACTAAGATGCAAGGGGTTACTGCGTGTGAGAGAATATGATAAAGAAAACACTATTAAGGAGTGAGAACAATACAAGAAGAGGAATTAAGAAGATAGAAGATAATGATTAACATTGTATTTAAATTTTTGAAGATCAAAGTTGACTGGAAAGTAAGAAGCCAAAAGAGAGTTCCATAAGCAAGAAGTCTGAGAGAAGAAACTCTTAGCATAGAGTTTACAGTTACATCTAGCCATTTCAACTGTAAAATGATGAGACCTTGCTGCCAATCTAGTAATGTGGTTAAATTCATAAGGTCTTGGTACCATAAAGAAATCTCGTGAGAATAATTACCATGAAAGTATTTATAGAAAAGGCACAAGGAAGCTACATCATGGTGATGGGAAAGTGAATGAAACTGAGATGCCAGGTCATGACCAATAACATTGCAGATTCTTCTTTGGATTTTATCAAGAATCTCTAAATTCTTATGTAACCTCAGTGTTATGTTCCTATATAAAAAAAAAAAACAAAAAACAAAAAACAAAACATTATTATTATTCAGTTATGCTTGTGCAAAAGAGATGACATGAAGATAAAATCAAAATATATCCTTTAACTCTGGTTCCAGGAATGTAGAAACTGCCTTCCATAGTTAATAGAGGTGATAAGATTGGTGCCAGTACAATGATAATGAAAATAGTACAAGTGAGGGATGAAAAGTTCTCTGTCTAAGAAAGTATACACTCCCCATCATCATTGAAAATTCTTCATATTTGATCAGTTTTTTGGGAAATAGTTATTTACACCATTTTCTCATCTTCATTGCTATTATTGCAACATCTCAACTGCTGTGCCCTTTGTCGTTCTTCCTACCATTTTTCCATGCATTGAATACTATTGCCATATCTGGTCTGAGGCTGCTGCTGTACATTTCGCAATTCTTGACAAAATCTAAAGAAGGATCTGTAATGTAATTGATCCTGACCAGGCATGTCAACTTCATTCATTTTCTCACCAATGTGACATGGCTTCGCCCTGTTTTTTCTATAAATATGTTCATAGCAACGGCTCTGACGATCTCTTTTCCTTGGCAACTGCACCAATATGCTTTTTTCTCTCATGCCCTGAATACATGAATTAAAGCATGCTACTGGATTGGCACCTGGTTCCCATCCTTTTACTGTTGAAATAGTGAAATGCAACTGCCTCTTCTACTCCAAGATTTTCTTTTCCTACACTTCCCAATAATGGAAGTCTCATTGCTCCCTGATAACTCCAATATTCAAAAATTTAAATGTAATATCAGTCACCATCTTCTGTCTTCTTGGACCTCATTCATATTTTGTCCTTTCCTCAATCCTCCCTATTCTCAGTCTTCTCTTTCACTTTCAATTCTCATACTAGTGATATAACTGCTTTGCTTCAGGTGAAATGGTTAAAAAAAAAAGAAAAGAAAAAACGTGTCTGTTGATCCAGGTAAACTTCAGAGACATTTGAACTGAAATCTTTATTTAACATATGGTAGAAGATTGTTTCCACTCTCTATATATAGAGACATCTTATCTTTGGATACTTGCCCTTTTAGTACTGCTCAGTGATAGCTAGTGCTGTTCCCATTGGGTCTGAACTCACATTTACTATGTCCTCAAATTCATGAGACAACACTTTGATCTGCTAGGCAATTGTCCTGCAGGGAATGTTGTGATAATAACAAAGATGATGACATTATTCCAAATGTAAATAATGATAACTCTTCATACTAGAGAAAATTGCAACAGAAATTTTTAAAGTGAGTAAGGCCAAGAACTTTTCAGCACCCTCCTGTATAGCAATTAATAATAATAATAATAAAATACTTGTAGTACCCTTTAAGATTTTATGGTTTTTGTTATATAGGAATAAAGTGTCGCTGCCAACACTTGAGTTTGAACATAGACCGCCAGTGAGCAAAAACACGCGATCCCATTATTGAATTAAATGGATCACGTAACCATGGGAGAAACACATAAGTAGTTAGTAGTGTGATGTCTAATGAATCGCCATTTCTAGTCAATCTTTTATTACTATACAGATCGCTATTTCTACTCTATCCTCTATTAATATACGAACCGCTATTCTCTATATTCACTATACTATTTCTCTATTCAGATCACTATACGGTGGTTACTATTCAAACAAGTATTATTGAGCAAGTACTATTAGTGCAAGTGATATTCGAAGGCATCTGACACCAGTATTGTTCAATGGCGTACTATAGTTGTATCTGCAATTACAAAGTCTCTACTACAACAAGCCTTATGAAAGTGACAATGAGTAGTAATTGACATTACAAAAGTGACAACAAGTGTTCATTGACATCACAAAAGTTTTCCTGTTCGAAATTTCTGAAGAATCTTAATTCTTAAGTTAATGATTGAGTCAGCTCATGGTGGGTTCTATGACAATAAATTATCCATAGAAATTCCCCTAACACATCATTAAATATTTGAGCTTAACAACTTTAACAAAATATTGCAATAGCAATCCTAAATATAAATGTTGGTTGTTATTTTAAGAAGTAAGGGGGTACAAATGAAAAGATTTGAAATTGACAACTTTTTCCATTTCACTGAAACAGCCGTTAAACACTTCTTTCTTTCTTTCTTTCTTTCTTTCTTTCTTTTTCTCACTGAAACCATGTAGTGTCTCTGCAATAAAATCAAGTAGTTCTCGAATTTTAATGAAACTCTCAGAACTTATTCACAAATGAATTAAATTATGTTTGAAATTTTTTTTAGAAAATCTTGATAAAAATATATTTTTTTACACCTGTGATCCCCTCCCCACTTACTTAATTTTATGACATTTCAAGAACTAAGTATATTTTTACATGTGTGAAAAAGTTGGAAAATTAATTTTAAAAGTGACTGGGATTTTGTCAACCTGGATTTGTCGACTGGGTTTTTGTCTGTTGGGATTTTCCTGCAGACTCATCACGATAGAAATGCATTTACCTTTAGAATTATTGGGAAATCATATCTTCCTGTTTAGATTTATACCTTCAGTTTAAACTTACACCTTTTTTGTTTCTATGTATTGTGACCATTTTATTTAAAGTTTCAAAAGTTTGCAATATATTTTGGTATAATTCTCAGAATTATACTTTATATAGATTTATTTTTAAATCGACATTTTTATTCAAATATTATTATGGTGGGCACTTATGTGAAAATGACATATTACACACTGTTTGATAAATAAATAAAAATTTCAAATAAGAAGGGCCCACTATAATAGCGTTCAAAGTAATAAAAATAGTTTAGATATATGAAAAAAGGTAACAATTTAAACCAGTAAAACTGACACCAGGAGAATATGGCATTTTGCATTTTTTTTCTTTTTTTTACAGTGGTGTTCACTCTGTACAAGGCTCGGGGTCCACTTGAGTTAGAGAGTTACAGAGTAAGAGCAGAGCTTATGCGTATATGTGGGGGAAATAACGGTTAACCTTAGACATGAACAAGTTAAGATGGAGTGATCGAAGAAGCAGTCTCTTGGGAGTCAGTTCCACAAGGTAGTGGTTCATGGGAAGAAGCTGCTTGAGTGGAACTTACATCTCACCAGAGCAATACGAAGTGATACACTACAATGTGCATGTTATGACGGATCTTAGTCGTGAAGGTCAGGACTGGTGGAACTAAGCAGTATAGTTCATCTGAACACTTTCCATGGAAACAGCGATAGAGCAGCGAGAGGCTTACGACATCTCATCCATAAGAAAGGGATTGCAGGGTGGAAAATAATTTGTCACTGACAAGGATGTGAAGATGAGAATGGAAAGTGTAGACTTGGCAGGTATAAATACTCCATTTTTGTCCTGATCTGGCTCTTGTAAAGGTAGAGGATAGCAGGAGGAGTGAGGTACTTGCTAGAGTGGTACAGGAAACCCACCATTTTTCCACAATCTTTAGCGGTGGATCATATGTACAAGTTCCACTTGAGGTTTGGGTTGAGTTTAAGTCTGAATAGATGCTCAAGGCACGGGGCCTGCTTGGCTCCAATCAGCGATGGTGTAAGTTGGTTTTTGAGGCACTGAATGTGATCAGTCAGTTTTCCCCCACTGAGCTGGTAGAGCTAGGTCAGAGGAGAGATGAACTGCCAAGCTCTGGTCATCAAGTGTTTGGAAGTGGACTCATATACCATTGTACCATCAGCAATGATATTCACAAATAATAGGAATATACTCTTCGACAGACCATTTATGTAGATAAGGAAGAGGGTTGAACCGAGAAGCAAACCTTGGGGGATGCATGCTTTGATCATCTGGTACTTGGAGGACTGGGCATCAACAACTATCTTCAGGCACCTACTCGTTATAAAGGACTTTATAGCTGAGAAGATTCTTTCGTGACTCCATAGCTAGAGAACTTGAGCAGTAATCCCTTATTCCACATCTTGTCAAAGGCCTTTCAAATATCTAATGCAACTGTCCTTGAGATGTATTTGTTATCAAATGCCTTACTGATTCTGTGAGTAATCGTAGTTAGTATATCAGCAGTGGACTGGGTAGATCGAAATACATACTGCTTGTCACTCAAGAGGTTATACCTATTGAATTAATCAACAATATTCTTGTTGATTATAGCTTCAAAGAGTTTGTTAATGACACTGAGGAGACTGATGGGTCTTTCATTCTTGAAAACCAGGCATAAACTTGACACCTTCCACAAACATGGGAAGGATTTCACCTTCAAGCAGTGGTTAAATAATTTCACTAGGATTGGGGATAGCTCTGGGTTAATTTTCTCAAGGGTTTTCATTTCTTATTAGCTTACAGACACATCACATTGAAACACCAGTTTCCATAGATCACCGAAGTTAAGCAATGTTGAGCCTGGTCAGTACTTAGATGGGTGACCGCTTAGGAATATCAGCTGCTGTAAGCTTGGGTGTGCGGGTGGTGTAATGGATAACAGCTCGGAAATGTTAATTGGAGATCCAAGTTCTAATTCACGTTGGGTTCATTATATTCACTTACATGCAAATATTCTTGGGAAATGTATGAACCCACCTTTTCTCCTACAGCTATAGATTAATTAGTAAGACTTGTAGCACTAAAACCATTATTATTTCTCTCAAAAAAGAAATGCCTACAAAATATTTAGATTTCGGCATTAAATAACCCATAGAGAATGGTATACCACTCAACAAAACAACCAACCAAACAACCATCCATCATTTCTTATTTTGAAGGATCTTTTTGTAATTCTGTTTGTCCCATCCTTAGCACGACCGTTACACCATGCCAATACCTCATTAATAATGAGCTATTCCGTTTTGACCATGTGGCAAGAATGTCCAAATCAGTGTTTTTTGGGGGTTTTTTTTTACCGAAAAAAAAGGCGTTAAAATACCCATAGTAATTAATCTTTGGCTCACCGCTGACGAAAAAAAAAACAATATTTTTAACCAAAATTACAAACGTGCTAGAAAGGATTAAAAAATTAATAAAATAATAATAATAAAATAATAATAAAAATATTTTGGTCTTTCCTCTTAACAATAACACTAACATTTTGACGATAAAACTTTTTTTCAAGTTTGAGGTCTTTTTTCAACATGGTATTATAGCGGTTGCTATGTTTTTCACACCTACATACACTCCAAGTCATTTTATTCGCCTGTGATTGGCTAATAAATTACTATTACCTTTGTATAGGACAATTTAGCCACCGCAGTCGTTCCTTTGAATCTTTTGATTCTGAGCATACTTACCTATTCTGTTTGGTACATTCTGAGCATACTTACCTATTCTGTGTAGTGATTGGTTAATTTTTAACCAATCACATATTTTTAATGTAAGATCAAGTTTTCCCGCAGTTCCGTGGGAGCCTACCTCTTTTCCTTAAATGAGGCGACTTTTCGCAAGTCGCCAATAAGATCTCAGCCGTCAACACAAATCCACGATCTTGCTCATCACACTCTAACGCACACACAGACACAGATTTTCGTAACTACAAACTTACATTTTCTCTCTGTAACTTTCGCCAAGCACAATCAACCAGAATTTTGTTGATTCAAACCAGTTTATTCACAACACATTTCAAGCAATTGTATTCTTGGTGTTATTCATTCTACACATGCAAACTTTGCTCTAACAATTATTTCGGAACATTTATCTCACAAGAGAACTTTCTTCAAACGGTTGATTACAATCAATCTACAGTCAAAGGAAAAGAACTTCCTTCTCTTTAATCTAAATTGTGAATTCATAATTATTTCATGTTTGTTGTTGTATTTTATTCAACATATATTTGTTGATTAACAAATTGGAGTTGTTGTTATTATTTTTTTAATCCTGTACGCGGAAGAATCGTTAATATAAATAGTAGTAGTACCTATATATTTGGTGTTCCCGCTACATTTAGTGAATCGACCCGACGCTATATTTGGTACGTATGCTACAGTATGCTCTTTTTTAGCGAAAAAATGGAGGTACCTAATTTGCTACTTAATTTATATTTATTTCTTCAAATAACAAACATTAATCGTATTATTCGGGTGGCATAAATGCGGCGATAGCCTGCAGGATGGCTTCGAATGTGTCGACTCCATCGTGTGGTTGCCTTCTCCACCAGAACTCGACCAGGTAAGTCTCAAGTGTCGTGCCTTTCCTCAGTGACGTTTGTTCCTCCATTTTGTTGATTCCCAGAAATGATCGATATTCTGAGTGTGGGCTCTGATATCTACATTAACGAAATTGTATCGATGATTAACCTTGAAATGATGGAATCCAGCCTACTCAAATACCACATCGAACTTTATAAAAAGTGACGACAAATAACCCACAAGTACTAAAGTCCCATATACAGCCTGTCTGAAGTAATTATGCAAATCAAATAAACCTCACCTACTCAAAAGTTCTGCACCAATATCTGTCAAATTTAAACTCGTCTATCTCCACTCTTAGTAAAATATTTAACTAAATTTTTTTGCTATTTTTAATGGTTACTTTTTGAGATGTGCGGAATTTACGAAAATGGACTGACTGAAGATACAGATTAAACTAATATTAGCTTAAGACCTCTGAAATTTAATAAAAACTATCTTTTTCTTTTGTTCATAATTTCTGTTAAAAGATGGGTAAAGGGAAGGATCTAACAACTGCTGAAAGACAGAAAATAAAGTTATTGACTGAGGGAGTGTCCATATTAGAGATATTAAAGGAGTTTTGCAGATATCATTGAACGACAAAGAAGGCTGTGGAAAATATAATCAAACTGGGAACTCGAAGTAAAGTAAGACTTTAAGAAATTGCTTCCTCGAGATGAACATAAACAAAAGAGTTATAGTGAAAACAACCACTTTTGACCAGTGCTCAGATTTTGAGAAGGCTGGAATGGAGATTCAAGAAGGACAAAAGGTGTAGAATACTTTGTGAATTGGGATCTGTAAAAGACATTTCCTAGGCAAACTCCTCCCACTAAAGTAAACATTCTGAAGTGAAAAAATTGTGCCAAGAAATACATGAAAATTGACTTTTCTAAAGTAATTTTTACAGACGAATCTCAAGTGACATTTGTTGGACCAGATGGATGGGCCAAAGGATGGATTTTATCCAATTCAGAGGGTGCCTGTGGCTAAAAGAAGGCAACAAGGAGACAGTAGTGTTATGATGTCGACCAAACCGTTATTAGACCAATCAAAGTCGATGAAGGACTTACACTGAAAAGTGCAAACTATTGCGATTTTATAAACAAGGTTTTCTTTGCATAGTGCAAGTCCCAGTCTCGCAGTTTCAAAGTGAAGTGTGTATTCATGCACGGCAATGCCCCTTCTTATGTATCTAAGCTTAACAATGAATTCTTTGAGCATAAAAGATTTACAGGAGAGAAGGTAATGGAATGGCCACCATCAAGTCCTGATTTGAATCCGATTGATAATCTATGGTCAGTTGTGAAGATGAAAATATACGAAGATGGCAAACAATATAACAGCAAAGCAAGCCCATGGGAAGCAATTAAAACTATCATGTCAGAAAAAATAGCCTGCTGAAGTAAGAAAATTAACAAAATCAATGGATAAGAGATTACTGGCTTTTATTGAGAAAAATGATCATTATATTAAAATGTAAAGGATTCAAAGATATATCAGAGATGTTTATTATTTGTTCTGTTATAGGTGTTGATTAATTTTTGATGATTTTATAACCTTTTTATTGAAGTAAAATGTGATCATTCGGTTTTGCCTAATAACTTCAGACGGCAGTTTTTTTAGAATACATCAAATAGCTTCAATAAAACATTGATACTACCGAAAATGTTAACTTAGGCTTTATTTTGACATTTAAATTGATTGTTTAAAATTTGACAATTTTTGTCAAACTGAATTTGAATCACTGAAGTTTATAATTTGCTTAATAACTTCAGACAGGGTGTAAAAAGAGGCACAAATGTAACTTCAATGTAAATTCAAGGAACTTTTAATTCAAATGTCAAATTGGAACAATAATAATAATATCCAATATATGCACTTTTATGAATTGGGGTCAAATAAAGATTAAATATGGATCGGAATCCGATAGAATGATAACATAACGAACAAATAGTAAACGTTTAACAAATGCTTCACTTTTATTAAAGTGTAGTGAGTCCCGATAAAAATAAAATATACAAATAAAATATAAAAATAAAGTATATAAACAAAAATAGAAAGAATTCAAATTAAGATAAGGCATTTGAGCTTTCCTTTAAAAGGCTTATATCTTTCTCTCTCTCTCTCTCTCCTTCACTCTCTCTTTCTCTCTTTCTCCTTCTCTCTCTCTTTCTCTCTCTATATATGTGTGTGTGTGTGTGTGAAATGTATATATATATATATATATATGTATGTATGTATACAATTTTTTATATATATTATTTATATATTATATATGTGCAGTACTTACTGGAAAGCGCTCAATATCACTGATAGAGCTAATATATTTAGTTGGATTGATGTGAGTTTGTATATATATAAACTTCAATATATATGGGCGGGTGCCCGAGTGGTGAGAACGTTAGCTTTCTGATCATAAGACCCGGCTTCGAATTTCACCACGGTTGATTTGTTATTGGTCTGGAGGGGGCTATCCCAGCGTGCGGCACCTTTGTAAAGTGCCTGAAAACCATAGCACGGGTTGACCCAAGCCTGGTAGACAGAACACTTGTCATCTGGCCTTGATCAAATTGTTGATCACGCTAGATAACTGCAGTATAAGCCTGTGGTGTTGAACAAACACAAATGCGCCTGAGTGAGCGTCTGCAATAGGGATTGGCCAGCTATTATATATATATATATGTGTGTGTGTGTATGTGTGTGTGTGTGTGTGTGTGTGTATGTGTGTGTGTGTGTTTCTGTATTTCTCTTTCTATACTTCTCTCAGCTAACGAGGAAGAAGAAAGACCGGAAGTTTGCTGAAAGAGCTGATTTTACTTATTTATGAGCAGATTTTACTTATTTGTGGCTGAAAAATACTAAAAATCAGGAAGGCATCACGCATATCTTCCGTTGTAAAGAAAAATGAAAAGAAAGGAACGCTGGAAAATAAAATAATTTGGGCCAATCGAAAAAATAAACACAAAGAAACTTTTCAGGTTAGCCGAAACTAATGTCGCGTCTAATACTCATTCCTGGTCCAAAGGATATAAGCCTGACACCGCTAGGCTAGAGACAGAATGGGCGACAAAAGACGAGAGAACAAAAGAACGCTATCGCGTATAAATCAGCCATACATGACGCGTGAAGAAGCAGTTAAGAGGTCATTTACTACTGATATTTTCGCCTTCTTCAGGGCTGAGAAAAGCACAGTATTACTACTACCCCTATCTTGGTATGTCTTCAAAACGACCACTAACGGACATTTCTCCTGACTGCTACCAATATCTGCCTTATTAACGAACGTTTTG